GAGACAGAGTGGGGAGCAGAACAGGCAGATCGACAAGTACACTGCTGAGGGGAGCAGTGGGCGGGTCAGGAGAGGTCTGCCACGCCATGTGGTCACCTCCAGGACAGGTGGGAATCCAACTCATGTGGAAGTGGCTTTAGCTTCTCAGTGCTGCGCTTTAACCCGCTGCGCCACCAGGGAGGGCCGCCAAGTGAAATTTTTATTACAACTACTCATATTTAAATTTTACTTAGTTTTATTATAGAGTAGGCATTAGAAATATCATCAATTTAGTGAATAGTTTTGGTTTTAATACCTGTAGTAGGAGATATTCCTATACTTGCTCTTTACTCAGTTCAAGTAGTTAGTTTTGTCTAGACATAGCATAGTTTTTAGATCCATTGATAATAATGACAAGTAGAGAAAAGGTAAGGAAAAGATGGTATAAGCAGGTATACCAGGAAGGCAAATTAACAGTTGTAGATGAGAAAACATTTTCAGAACAAGTACTAAAAACATAAAGATACGCAGCAGAAAAATTATTGATCAGCTTTTCTTTCAAGCACATTTGTGTATACATGAAAATATGTATGCATGCTGTTCACCAAAAAATAAAAGTAATAAAGTAGAGAATACTTTTAATGAATAAGTTTAGGGTCTTTCAAGGTCTTAGCCATATATGAATCTTATGTGAATTTTTTATAGCATGTTGTATAAGTTGGTGATAAAGCAAGAAAGATAAACCTAAAGCTTGACCCTAACTTATGAAAATATCTACTTGAAATTTTCTTTTCCACTTTTACTACTTGAAATACACAATGCTATTTTTCCTCTGCATGATAGTTTTGTTGAAGGTTGCTTTAACAATGAACCTTCATAGCAATCCCAAATGGTAAGTATATTTAAAGAAAATTTATTATGTCCTTAGTCATATTTAGATCTCTCAGTATTTTGCTTGGAGAAAAAGTTTAAAAGAAATTTGCAAAATCAAAGACTTCATCTTGATTGTTAAGAATAACTGAATATTTAACAGTATTGATTAAAATACTTTTAATCTGTATACCAAGACATCTATGCCTTAGATGTGCAAGTCTAGAGCTAAATGCCACATGTTAACTGGTTTGTGGTAAAAGGTGCACTTATTGAATCCTACTCAGGAAGCATTTAAAAAAACAAGTCAGTGTTCATTACATGTCTGATATTTATTCTTGATAAATAAATGTTGTTATTCTACAACATTTTTTTCACTTGTTTAAAAATGCTCTGAATCCTTGTTTTAGACAGTAATTTTGTGAATCTCCTGGTATTCTTTCCCTTTTTGTTACAAGTTTGTTTTTTTTTTTAACTGCAAAATATGCTGGAACACAAGATAAACAACTGTTGAAAGTCAAAGGATACAGGCTCCTACAATTACCCAAATCTGGGCAGATTGAGTGAAGAACTTAAGGAACTATTTGAAGAAAAAGCAAAGCTCCAAATGAATGCAGAAGTTTTGTAGATTACTATTAACTTGAAAAAGAAGCTGAAACCACAATTTACTTTGAATACGGTTACATTGACATTTTCCAAGACACAATAGTTTTTATAGCATGTCTCATAAGGACAGAGGGAATATTTATTTTTCTGTGTTTGTGGGGCAGGTGGAAGGAATGTTACCAGAAAAGATCTGAAAATCAAGAGAGATTGTAGAACTACCTCATACAAATTTTGGATTATTCCTGTCAAGTGATAATAACTCTGAAAGGATATTTTTTACAAGGACAACTAGTTACAGGAAAAACTAGTAACAACAGATACTGTTGGTCAGCTGGACAGCCATTGCTTTAATGTATCTACTTCTATTGTACATAAAGTACATTAGTGAAAGTGTTCATTTGATTAAAGAAACAATTATGCCAGGAATCTTCAGCCACCTGAACACTTCTACAGACAGAAAATAGATGCCATAGTGGATATTGTTTTTCTGAAAGTATTTCAGCTGATATTCTTAAAATGGAGTTAATCAAATAAATGGATACAACATTGATACTTTCCATAGAGTTAAAATGATACAGTGCATCTTCCTTTGCAGTCTCCAGGTAAGTAGAAGTATATATTGATTTATTTACAAGAAAAATTAAATATATTGAAAGTATATGGAAATGCCATCACAAAGCATGATAAAATAGATTAGAAGTAGCAATTTTAAAGCTTTCAGATGACTAATGGAGCTGACTGAGAAATTCTTACACTGTCTCCAAATAGGAAAAGTGCACATTGATTAATTACAAGAAAAATTACCCATCCATCCATCCACCCATCCATCCAGTCTTCAAGTAAATTCTAAAAAAGAAAAGATTTATTTATAGTGAGTGGTTATTTGAGTGAGGATTGGTTCAAATAGGCAAGTCATTACAAATCATTTGGAATTTCCACTGAATAGGAAACCCATTTACCCTATAATTTATGACTACTTTCTGCATTGTTAGGTTTTTATCATTCAAACACACTCAAGTAAACATAAATCACTAGTATTGTAACAGAATTGTTAAGCTGCTAGAGGACTAAAAAAAGTAAAACACTAACAGATTTTTAAAAATAGTTTTAGGAAGTAGCTAGCAAATCTAAATAAAGCTGCCGCAGACAGTGGAATCTTGAAAACCTAAAGCTTTGAGGAAGGCTACCCATGGAGATAGAACCCAGATCTCTTAAGACAATATGCTGCCTAACTGCTTATTATACCGTAAGAGCTTGGTGGAACTCAGACCTTTTAACAAAGGAGCACAATCAGCCAGTTTTGGTATACCTACAGGAAGGGGATGAAGCTGGTTATGTAAGACAAGATAGAATGAAAACTGCTGCTACTAGTGTGCAGAAGTGGGCTGGTGTGGTAAGGAAATAGGGAGAAAAAGAGGAAGGAGTCTCCCTCTAGTGGATTGTTGGCAGAACCTAACAAGCCAATACTCACATTAAAGTGTGATTCATAGAATCAAAATCCCAGGATCACATAGAATAGGAACAAGAAATTGGGGGCTAGGACAGTAGTATACTAAGAAAAACATAGACTAAATAATTCCAAACAAAACATATGGAAAATTCCTGCTCATGATTTTATTGGTATCAGGAATACTGAACAAGATGCTAGAATTAAGGCCCTCCCTGGTGGCCCAGTGGGTTGGCGCACTTCACTGCAAAACTAAGCCAAGGTATGGCCACTTCAGTGCAAGTTCGCTCTCCTCCCCAGAGGTGACCCACATGGTGCAGCAGACCTCTGTCTCACTCACTACTCCCATGAGCAGTGTACTCTGTCGATCTGCCTGTTCTGCTCCTCTTTCTGGTGAATCCTCTCACTGCCCCTGCACTTCTGACTGTACCCCATTTCTGTATGCATAAATAAGTAAAATTTTTAAACAAATGATGCTAGAATTAGAATTAGAGCTTGATCCAGCTCTACCACCAACAAGCAAGTAGCATGAAGGAGCCTCATTAAGTTGCTTAAGGGAAAGTTATCTCAGCTTTCATTTTTCTTGCTTCAGGATTGTTCTAAGTAGACCATTTAAAAATGTGGACTTTATTTCCAAATGCATACTATTAGCATAAGTATAAATATTAAAAGTAGGCACTAAGCCAGACAGCAAAATCAATAGATTCCACTTATGAATTATTAAAATATGTAAGGAAATATAGGATTTTAGTCTTAAACGGTAGGCCATACTTATAATTCTTCAAACTGTCTCAAATACATTGCTGTATTTTAGTCTTAGCACAGGAATTCTCAGTGGTTCATTTTCATCTAATGCCTAGGAGTCACCCAGTCACTCAACCATGATATAATCTGTACCTAAATGGATGGCTTGCTATATTTATAAAACCAACTGAAGGTAGGCCGTTTCTTGGAACTAGTAAAAAATAAATTTCAAACTAATGCATTGTGTTTGTAATATAGATATATGTGGAATATGACCTCTGTCCTAAGGAAAAAATTGCCAAATAGGAATAAAAATTTTGACTGAAAAGAGCACCACCCACATATTTGGGAAAGAAACTAGAGAAAGGAATTTGCATGATACATACTAATTAATGGTGCAGAATAGGAAATCTGGTTCTTTGGAGTAAGTTTTGCTCTAATTTTGGAGTATTAAAAGTATTTCACATGTGAACATCAAACGGAAAAGCCCCAAAACTCAATGTTATAGATTGAGTTAAAATACGTAAGCACTTATATAGTAGGATTTTAAAAAGTTAATAAAGTGGCAATAATGAGTTTCTGACCTTCAACTCTCTTCAGAATAATCTAGAAAGCCTATAAAAACAGACTGCTGAGCACCTTACCCAGAGTTTCTCGGTAGGTCTGAAGTAGTACCTTAGAATTGCTTCCCAGGTGATGCTAACAATGCTGGCTAGCTTGGTTGCACCCTATTTTGAAAGCAAGAGAGAATAGTATATCACATATTAGTACTGGCTCAAAATAAAGGTAGTATCGTGGAGAGTTTTGCAACCTAAAAACATTCACCGAATTCTCTTTTAAGACCTCAATACAAAACTATGAAAAGATTTCTTGAGTAGTACTATTACAAAACTCAAGGAGTTAAAGTGTACTTACTATCACAATGCATGAAAGCCCCTACTGGGAGTGGTGGTTATTTTTAAATTGGTAGGACAGATGTCTTAGGCCCTCTAAAGTCATGAGTATTAGTCTGTATACCCGACAAATAGAATGCAGAACATTCCATGATCTATTTTAATGCTGTTTGAAACAGTTCAACCATAATGATAGGAAAGAACAGGTAATTCCTAGATGTCTACATGGATTATATCACTTTTTGGTAACACCTTAAATATAATAATATATGGGAAATAAGGCTCACCAAAGAAAATACTAAGACTCTTATTACCACAATAAAGTATTGTCAAATGCTTGCAAGTACATTTTAAAATTTTTTTCACAGCAGACAGCCTATATGAATAATTACAAATAAGTAATAAATATATTAAATTTTTATTAAGTTAGTATAATTCCTATAATGGCTAGTATATCACAGTCACAACTGATTTTCTTTTTTCTTTAAGTTTTTATAATCAGTATATGGACGGCATGCAATACTCAGCTCTTCTTTTGTACATCCTTTAAGGCAACATTTTTCTGAATAGCCTCTGCGTTTTCTCTGGGGATGGTCACCCCAAAACAAATTGCTTAATGTTTTAATTTTGTATGCATTTTTCTTCTGAAATTCAACAAGTTTATGAATATATGGATTGATATCTTGTAGTGAGGACAGTTTTGTGTTATCAGGTAGCAAGTTTGCCTTTTTATGCTGATATTCATGCAGTGACTGCATTTCCCCACTGTTAATTGCTTCTTGAGAGGTAGATGTAGAGACTGTTGAGAGACAAGAAAAACATACTACTTTATTAAAATCTTCCTTTAGCTGAAAATGTAGTCATGAACAGAATACGGTTTAAATTATTTAAAACAACATTTAAAAATAAAAGGTATTCCAAAGCAGTGCATATTTTTTAGCTAAAATACCAATATAGGTAGTTTTCCTACAAAAAGGTTTAGATGCCAACAAATTTTTTTATTGAAGTATTCATATTCCATAAATTTCAGTATTTTAAAGTGTACAATTCCAGTCCCTAGCAACCACCAGTTTACTTTCTATTTCTATCGTCTTGCTCATTCTGCATGTGAAATCATATCATATGTGTGTGGCCTTTAGTGTCAGCTTTCTCTCCCTTAGCGTAATGTTTTTCAAGTTCAATCCTGTTGTAACATACATCATTACTTTATATATCAGTACTTTATTCCTTATCCCACATATGATTATATCACATATTGTGTACCCATCTATCAGATGAGCAATTTGTCCAAGGGGCTTTGGATACCATTTTTTTTTTTAAAGATTTTTATTTATTTATGCATCCAGAACTAGAATACAGGCCAGAGGTACAGGAACGGTGAGAGGATTCACCAGAGACAGAGTGGGGAGCAGAACACGCAGATCGATGAAGTACACTGCTGAGGGGGGCAGCGGGCAGGTCAGGAGAGGTCTGTTGCACCATGTGGGTCAGCTCTCTGGCCTGGAATCCAACTAGCGCTGAAGTGCTGTGGCTAGCTTTGCATTGCTGTGCTTTAACTGGCTATGCGCCACCAGGGAGGACCCTAGATACCATCTTAAAAAGCTCCAGACATATTTAGAGAAAGAGATTCACCTACTTTTCGAAACAGTGCATTTTAGTCAAATGCAAATTGTTCCAGGAAAATAGCAAAAGCTTCCAATCCGTATGTATTATGTATACTGTTCCAAAACTAGGTAAGAGCCACAGAGATTTTAAGAACAATCTTGTAAGCCCATTTTTATTTATAATTATTTCTTTGAAAGTCCTAAATAAGTTAATTGAACCAATAAACATATTTTGCAATATTAAGAAAAGGTTTACCCCAGAAATGCAAGGGTAGGGGCCAATCTATCAACACAAATTACCACATTCTCATTTTTCTTACAGCTAATTTTTCCTTCTACTCTGAGAAAATAGAACGACACAGAGAAGAATGTACATTTGCTGTCTTCATCATCTTAAACCCACTCTAATCAGAATTTTGCTCATCCACCAAAACTTTTCTTATCAAGGTCATTATAACCTCTAAACACAACCAACAATGCTCATCTTATCTGACTTACCAAAATATGCTTTCTGAATACACTTTCTTTACTTGGTTTCCACCACATTTTCTCTTCTTCCTATCTGTCAGTCACTTTTCTACATCCTTTACAAGTACTTCCTCTTTAGCATTTTTTTTTTTAAAAAAGATTTATTTTTTTATTCATACAGAACTGGGGTATAGGTCAGAGATGCGGAGGGTGAGAGGCTTCACCAGACACAAAGTGGGGAACAGAACAGGCAGATCGACGAAGTACACTGCTGAGGGGAGCAGTGGGCGGGTCAGGAGAGGTCTGCCACGCCATGTGGTCACCTCCGGGGCAGGAGGGAATCAAACTCATGAGAAAGCGGCTTTAGATTCTCAGTGCTATGCTTTAACCCGCTGCGCCACCAGGGAGGGCCCTCTTCAGCATTTTAATGTTGGTTTTCTCTCAGGACCCAATCCTGTTTCTCTTTTCTGTTTAAACTTCCTGGGGGATTTTTGTTCCAAACTCTAAATTCTTGCATCTTACTTTCCACTTAACACCTACATTTTGTCGTGTTAAATATGTTTTAAAACTCAGTGTTTTAGGCCCTCCCTGGTGGCGCAATGGGTTGGGATGCAGTACTGCAAGCTAGCTGCAGCCATTTTTGTGTAAGTTTGATGTCTGCCCACGTGGCCTGGCACACCTCTCCTGCCTTGCCCACTGCTCCCCTTAACAGTGTACTTAGTCGATCTGCTTGTTCTGCTCTCCACTCTGTCTCTAATGAATCCTCTCGCTGCCTCTGCACCTCTGGCCTGTACCCCAGTTCTGTATGCATAAATAAATAAGTAAATCTAAAAAAAAAAACACAAAAATTCTGTGTTTTAAACATTTTAAACTCAATGTGTCAAAAACAACTGCCTGTAATCTTCGAAACCTGCTCCACTTGGGGTCTTTTCTCTCTCTCTCTCTCTTTTTTTAAGATTTATTTATTTATTCATACAGAACCGGGGTACAGGCCAGAGATGCGGAGGGTGAGAAGATTCACCAGAGACAGGGGGCAGCAGAACAGGCAGATCCACGAAGTACACTGCTGAGGGGAGCAGCGGGCGGGTCAGGAGAGGTCTGCCATGCCATGTGGTCACCTCTGGGGCAGGCGGGAATCGAACTCGTGCGGAAGAGGCTTAAGCTTCTTAGTGCAGTGCTTTAACCCACTGCGCCACCAGGGAGGGCCTCTTTTCTCTTAATTGGTCATAACCCTTTCTCTCCCAGTAGTCCAAGCAAAAACATTTGAATCCACTTTTTTTTTTTTTTTACATATTGCCATCATTCCTGATTTCTTTGTTCTCAGTGCTCACATGAACTCTGCCCAGATACATCTAGAATATAACAATTTTTCACCTCATTGCAATCACCCTAATCTAACCACTATTAGTTCTCTAATATGTGCCCTAACAGGTCTCTCTGCTTCTAGTCTAGCCAGTGTGACTCTTTTTTTTTTGTTGTTACAAAAGTTTATTTTTACATCATTTTGTACATTTTTTTTTTTCCATCTCAATTGTAATCCCCGCGGGTTTCCCATCACCAGCCAGTGTGACTCTTTTAATGTATTGATGGTGTCAGTTACTCAAAGATCTGTAATGACCCCCTATATGACTCAGAGTAAAAGTGGAAGTTTGTAAAATTGTCTAAGTACCCTAAGTTTTCTAGTTTCCTGAAACACTACTTACCGCTCACTGGCCTTATACCATGTTGGCCTCCTTGCTATCCCCTATACATACTTGAGTAGGTATGCTGTGCTCTTTTCTCTGCCTAAACATTCTTTCCCCAGCTGTCTACTAGCTGATTCTTTATCTCCTCCTTTCTTAAGTCTCACCTTTTCAAACCTATCTTAAACATATTATTTAATACTGTACTCTACGTTTCAACCTCCTGAACTTAACCTGAGCTCTCTTACACTGTTTCACTTTTCCCAATTGTATAGCTCTTATTACCTTCTCATATTTACTTATTTATTATTTATTACTTATGTAATAATAAGGTAATGAGTAATTATGAGTAATGAGGCTTATGCATAATTCTATAAAACCAGGAATCTCTGACATACCTACCCAAAGGGACTAGACCACTGTGTGGCACTTAACAGGTATCCAATAAATATTTGCTGAATAAATTAAAGAAAAATCATAATTATACAAAAGGATGCCCCCACAAAAAGCCTTACTTATGATTCAGCCCTACTTATAATGATTAAAAAATGTCTTTTAGCAAGCTTCCTTATCTTAGCATAGACTACATAGCATGAACCTACATATTATGCCTCTAATGGAGGCATTTACATGACTCCTTTTTAAAGTTAGGAGCAAGACTAGACTATTATCTCTAACAGAACTAAGAGTATCTGCCTAATGATATAAGGGGTAAAAAGGAACACAGGTGTAAAAAGAAAGTAACAAGGCTATTATTTGCAAATGATAGAAAAACCTAAGTACATAAGTTATTAAACAAGCTATAAAAATCAACTGCATTTTTCTAACCAACAATTACAAACTCGAAAATAAAATTAGCAAGTATTTATAACAGTAACGACAGAAAAGTATTAGGCATTAACTTAACAAATCATACAGAATTCTGTATAAAGAAAATTTTAAAATTCGAGTAGTAGAATTCAAAGACAATTATGCTTTTGGTTGGGATGACTTTGCATTGTAAAGATACAAATTTTCTTCAAATTTATATATTCCATGCATCTCAATTACATTACAGCTGGGTTTTTTTTTAAAAAGAAATCCAGTAACTTTATTTCAAATATATGAAAGAATAATAGGCTCGCAAAGCAAACAAATGGGCAAACATGACAAATTTAACCTATAGACTTTGAAAAACATGTTGGTTACCAGAGGGGAAGAAGGATGTAGAAGATGGAGCCATTGGTAGAAAAGACAATTTAAAGCAATTTAAAGACAATTTAAACAGAAAAGACAATTTAAAGCAGATATACTTATCAGGGCGTGAAGTGACATTTCTGAAATTGTAGAGTTTTGTAAGTGGATAAATTTAAAATTTGACCAGCTTTATATAATCAAGGAACCAGAATGGGGATTATTGATTATATAAAGCTGGTGATGAAACACATAGTTTCACCTGGCACTAGGAGCAGGGCAGATAGATAGGTATTCTGTCAAAATTCAGAAATATATGTCAACTTCACATGTCATATTCTAGGGTTAGCCATGAAAACATGGCTTACATTTTCAGAACCCACTAAAAAGCAGCACACAATCTTATATTAAAGTTATGCATTGGTGGTTTGGTCTGAAAAAAGTGCTTTAGAGTATCAGTGTATCAAATTGTCTTTTTTGTGTGTTAGACTCTAATAGACACTATTCATCAGAATATTAAAACTGTTAGTAAGTGATTTGATCTAACAGAAAAATATGTCCTGCTAGTATACGAAATAAAAGTGGATCAATTTTTCAACCACATTCATATATATATATATATATGAACAGCCTAATTATATATTCTATGTTGGAAATATACTTCTCCATAACTTCTAAATTATTGACTGGAAATTCACAGGAGAAATTAGATGCCATCTTACCTTATAGATTGATAAATATTTCATAATAACAACTTAGTGTTGATAATGAGTTATTCCTTCTTCCATAAATTTCAAAACAACTATGGATTTATGTCCACATATTTCTACTTCAGAATAGATTGATAAATATTTCATAATAAAACTTAGTGTTGATAATGAGTTATTCCTTCTTCCATAAATTTCAAAACAACTATGGATTTATGTCCACATATTTCTACTTCAGAAAATTTTCCTTTACATAATGTTTTACAGGCATGGCGATTAGAAATATTGTTAGATACATTTTTATTTCCTACAAATCCTGTTCCATTGCAGGTCCCTCTTCATTTAATTGATGGCATTTATTTGTCCAGGAGAGCAAGAAAGACATGAAACAGAGGGGTTATTAGTCAACTCTGGGTTTTAAAGTTGACTTCTGCATTAGTGAAAAATAGTGCCAGAGAAGATGTTGTTGAGAAAATTAATTTCAAGCTCCAACTCGTTTGGATCTCTTAAGGTAAAATTTTGACCACATTATAAATAGGTAGAGAGGGCACAGAATTTGATGCAAGAGAAATACTCACCCCCATACAGTAGCGGCCCCTGTGGACAAAAAGAGTAAGGAGGAGAGAGAGGGGTTAACTAGACACTTGCACCACTCACAGAGTATCATCCAACCACCAGCGACCTGGGAGATTATGGAAATATGTTTACTGTCAGGCCCCCTCCCAGACCTACTGAGTCAGAATGTGTTCATTAACAGTATTCCCCAATGATCAACATGCTCATTAAAATCGTGAGAATCACTGAACTTTTACAAATGAAGACTAGGGGAGACACACTCCCTCCATTTTAAATGCAGGATAAGGCAAGTTTATGTATAGGTAGGTTTGAAGGTAGAAAATTACCATGATTCAGCCTGATGGCTTCCACTGTGTCTGTATTTAGATGATTTCATGCTCTTAGCATGAATTTCTAAGTTCCAGTCATCATTCATTTAAAAAGAACTTAAGGAGTCCTTACACTGTAGAAGGCATGGTTTTAGTTTGTTTCAGTCATCTACATTAGTACCTCTTTTTCGGCATAGGCTACTTCTTTCCTTAACTTGACTTTTGCCAAAGTTGTCCAAATCAAAGCAGTGAGAGTACTTTAATAAAAGGCATTTCAAAGCTACTTTCTATGGAGAGTCTATAAACAAAGCACAACTCCTTTTTTAAAAGAGCAAACCATAGGGGAATTAATGTGTTGATCAGAAAATGAAAACACACAGTTGAAAGATAATCCAGATCTGAAGCATCGTTCTTCTTCCTAAAATCTGTCTAAAAGCATTAACTATACAAACTCATAAGATATTAGAAAGACATGCCTGAGATAGTCCCTATCATATGGTCTGGTACATCCGGCTGGCCTTAGACCTGGAATCTAGAAGGACCCTGAATTTGATGCAATGCTTGGTTGCTGGAAGTCTTGAAAATTCTCAACAATTTTATCTTGAACTTGTAAAGTGTTAAGTAGTTTTTTAAGTGAACCCTAACATGACAATGGACCATCTGTATAAGTAGAGAAAGGAAAAAGTGTTTTGTGTTTTAGTACCTTTAGTTTCCCTTTCCTGCCTGTTGAACAGGGACCCTGCATATTATCTTGCCCTGGGCCAGGCTGCTCCTGGAACCTGTCCTGGTGATAGTCAAACAAGAACTGCTTGTTAAATACTGTGTAGAGTGGCTCTGAAGGGGTGTGATGACTTTACAGGTAAAACCATACCTAAATTAGGCCTCGATGGAGAAAATGGGGCTTGCCTCAAGGAAGGGGCCGCTATGGAAAAAGCAGCATTTAAAAAAATGTGTGTATGTTTATGTGCGCACATTTCCACAAAGCTAAACAAGAAAAGCTTCACAGTTTTTCACCCTCTTCAACACAGTGGTGTTTGATATTTTTAGTTTACCTATTTATTAGGCAAAAGTCGGGGAAGCTCGCCGTTGGACAGGGGCACAAGAAAGGTACAGAGATGAACAAACACGACTTTGGTTTAGATTTTTACCTGGATTTTTGTCTCTCCCCCAGGCCTGGAAAATGGTTTGGGAGCTTTGGAACTGGTCAGGGATGAAGGCTTCAACCTTACTGGCTTGGGAATGCTGCTGTCTTGGAGGGTTTTCCTCCTCAAAATGGCTCCAGCTAGTATTGCCACAGAGTTTGACTATTTCTTTCATCAGGTGCCTGCCACACAGCTTCCGCGCTTTGCCGCTGGTCCTCAGCTCCATGGAGACCCTAACCCACAGGAGCCCGAGCCACAGCAGACTCAAGCAGAGGGGACCCCGCATCCCTGAACTCCTCAGCCAGGCCCGCGCGCGCCTCAACTAACTGCCGCCCCTACAAGTCCACCCTGAGCCCACAGCCACCGAGCGCGCCCCCCAGCTAGCGGGCGTCCTCGCGAGAACGCCAAGGTGCGGGGCGTGGTGCGAGCATCCCCCGACTTCTCACGGCCTTGCAGAACTTCATAGGCTACAGGTAGGAGGCGCTTCGAATGACAAGTAATTTCTTAGCTTCCTCGCTGGGGGGGAACTACTCAAATGAAAAAGGGGGGCTCCAGATCACCCTTCCAGCTACAGTTGACAGGGCATGGCTTCCTCACGGAAACCTTTTGTTTTCTTCATGGCATTTACCTTAATAGGTTAGTTCTCATTTAGTTATGTATTTGTTCCTTAATTTCTTCCCCCAAATTCCAAGATGTCAAAAGTCAGTGCCGGTGTCTGTACTAGCTGTTTGTTAGACCTCAGGGATTCACTTGAGGTTGGAAATCAAATACTAGAAACAGCCACGCCCTAGAATATGCGTATGCGTTTTATTATTTATTTTTTGTTGGAGTAACATTTGTTGAAAACTGTGTATATGATTTAGAGTCACTGAGTCACACCCACCACCAAGACACCCATAGCTTTCCACTACAGTCCTTGTGCTCCCTCTCTTTGCTCTTCCTCCTTCTCTCCCTCTGGTAACCTCAATTCTAATGTCAGATTTCCAGCGTTTATTACTTTGGCTTTATCCAGCCTTTTGTTTGTTTCTCTATAATCCAAATGTAAGTGACAACATATGACATTAATCTTTTTCCTTCTGACTTATTTCACTTAGCCTAGTACACTCCAGGGCCATTCATCCATGTAATTGCAAATGGCAAGAGTTTATCTTTTTCTATCTGACTGAGTAACATTCTCTTCTGTGTATACAGCACAGCTTCCTGACGTTGTCATCTGTCTTCCAGCTACTTAGGTTGTTTCTATAGCTTGGCTATTGAAAATAGTGTTTCAGTGAACATAGTGTTCAATACCACTTTGAATCAGTGTTTTTGCCTTCTTTAGGTAGATGTCTAAGGACTAGATTGGTGGGATCATGTGATGGATCCATTTTGAATATTTTGAGAAGCCTCCATATTATTTTCCATCTGGACTGGACCAGTGTACATCACACCAATGGTGTGCATGCCTTCTTTTCTCTTCACATCTTCACCAGTACTTGTTTTTTGTCCTTTTGATATGGACCATTCTCACAGGGCTGAGGTGAGTCCACTTGGCTCATCCAAATACCTTCACAGTTATCTCTTCCCCAGTTAGGACTGTGCTTCTACACGAAACAGCTCTGCTCTCTCTAGGTTGTGCTCGCACAGGAACATGGTGTGAGCCACCAGTTCCTGCCCTAGCCCCATAATCTCTTAAGTGCCTCTTTCCTTCCACTTTTCATTATACAGAGTTGAATTTCCTCAGCATCTTTTTTTCGAAGGTTGGCACTGGTCTCTGTTGCCCAGGAGCTTTCTGGTTTTACCCCAGGTCATGAATTGGTCTTATCCTAGTGCTCTCTGGATTACTTTAGATTATCCTTGCTGGAGTGAACTAAGAACTCTTCTCTGACACTATCTTGTATGTAAGTTTTAAAGAAAGATTCAGAGTTTCTCAGAACATTTCCACAGGGAGAAATGGGTGTTAGCCTCAAGCTCTAGAACAAAGAGGATACTTGGGATGATGATGTGCTCTTTTGGTTATAAATGATAGAGGATTATAACCAGTCTGTGACAGGAATCCCTATAGTCTTGCATTAGTTTAGCTAAACTAGGAGGGAAGGGGCAGGAAGTGTAATATAGTCTGTAAGACGGCTCTGCCATTAAATAAAATTTTGTGTTGACTCAGAAGTATGAATGATCGGTCACAAGGGACAGTCAGAAGCCATTCAGGACTATTCCTTCAAGATGCAAAGCCTCTGAAAGGTACAGTATTAGTTGTCAGTAACTAAATGAATTATCGTCACCACTGCCCTTTGCCATTTTATTTTTGCTTCTCTTTCAAACTTCATACCATTTTTTCCTACACTTTTCATTCCCCCAACCTTGACCAGCTTCCCAGTAGCACCTGTAAGAGTTGTGGAAATAACTGTCAAGTTATTTATTTATTTTAAAAAGATTTATTTATTTATGTATACAGAACTGAGGTACAGACCAGAAATACAGGGATGGTGAGAGGATTCACCAGAGACAGAGTGAGGAGCAGAACAGGCAGACTGATGAAGTACACTGCTGAGGGGAGCAGCAGGCGGGTCAGGAGAGGTCTGCCACGCCATGTGGATCACCTCTGGGGCGGGGATCAAACTCATGCTGAAGTGGCTTTAGCTTCTTAATGCTATGCTTTAACCCGCTGCAACAGCAGGGAGGGCCCACTGGCAAGTTTTTTTTAAAGTTGATGTAATTTAATTAACACAAATCATTGCCTTATTTGAAATACAATGTTCAAATTACAGTAGGCAATGAGTCCTAGTCAGAATGTTACCAGGTAAATTCTGTGAGGAAGCAACATATTCAGTATATTTAGTGTAGGTCTAAAAGCAAACAAAAATTTCTCAAGCAATATGTGCCACACTCAGAGAAATTTAATGTTTATTCTCATTCTTTTTGCACTCTCCATGAACTAACCCTGCTTTGTGTTTCTCTGTACCATTATTAAAACTTTTCCCATATATATTTGTATTTTTTTTCTTCAAAACCTTCAGAGTAGAATTATGGAATGCCTTTTATATTTGTCTCTAATATGATCAGTGGCGGGAAAATGGTTCATAAAAAAAAAAAAAGAAAAGAAAACCTGATGACATTTAAAACAAGTCCCCTGAAAAATATTAAAATTCCCAAAATGTCCCTTTCAGTCTGTCCAACAGTGTGTAAAGTGTTCACAGTCTTTTTCATCCTTTGTGCAATGGAGTTGAATCTTAAGCTTATATGGAACTTTTGCTCTTTACAGCACTGACAAGGATTTAGAAAACACCTGGACCTCCAGGTAGCTTCTAAAGTCCTTGGATAGAATGATTTTCTTATAGTGATTGGTAATCAGACTTGATACCAGTATTTTTTTTAACTTCCCTGGGCAGTTGGTGAATGGTTGCCAGCTACCTGAATATGTGTATGTATGTGGTGTATTTTATTATTATTTTAATTTGGGGGTTACATTTTTTTTTTTTTTTTGCTTTTCCATGTGTGCACATATTTCTAACCCTACCAAACCATTTGTGCCAATCACCCATCTACTACCTCTCTCCCTCATCCCTTCCTTTCTTTCTACTATCCCCTGGTACCAGTAAATTCTTTTAAGTCCAAGATTTATTCCTACTCTTTTTGCCTTTGTATATTTTTTGGTTATTTTATATTCCACAGATGAGTCAAGCCAGCCATCTGATATCTTTCACTTTTTGATGTATTTCATTTAACATTTTACCTTGAGGTTGATCCATTTTGTCTCTTAAGATACTATTTCATATTTTTAAATAACTATGTAGTGTTCTACTGAATATCAAAATGTATGCTAAACTTTTAAATGTACATGTGTATAGGCTTTGTATTTAAAATCTAGTCAGCTAGAGAACTTGTCATAGTGTTTTTGAATTAAACTAATACTCTTAATTCCAAATGCTTATGATCTAGCAAACTAAGTCACTTGATATATTTATTTTGTGCAATATAAATTAAAGAATAATTAAATAAATATCATTGTTGGAAATCATGTCACTGTTCAAATAATACTAGCCTGAAAATAGGCAATGGTTATAGTTGTAAATTTTAATTTTAAGTGACTTTTCACTAAGACAAGCATTTTAGGGAGAGCTTGACAAAACTGCAGTTTGGAAAGTATTTTTATGGGGTGATGGAATTAACAAATAATTCTAGATTAGTTGTTGCTATTCTCCATGCACAGCAATATGGTTGCTCCTTATTAATAATTTTTGATTGAGAAAGCAATGAGCCCATGAGCTATACATCTAAGTGTGGAAGGTAGATCCCAGAGCAGGCACTGATGCATACTGAGAAGAGAAAAACAGGCCCCTCACCCTGCAGAAATGCTGCGGGGCTGGCACACTTCCTGTAACTTCTGTAGCAAGTCTCAGAAGTTGTTGCCCTTCTGGCCAACAGCAGTCTTCGACACTTCTTGTTAATTGAAAAAAAAAATACGGTGGTACTTTATATTTTCTCCTAATGCTGTCTTCATTCAAGTTAAACTGGGAGTGACACATACGAATTTATACCATGTCAGAAACTTGCAGTTTTCCTTAGTAGGATATCCTAAGTATAATATAGTTGCTCTAAAAAAAAAAAAAAAAAAAACCTCTCTTTGCAAACTTACATTCCCTAATTTGGATACAAAGAAAAGCTAATCATGCCTTTCCATGGACCTCAAGCCAATTAATGAACCAGGACAAATAACTATAGTTTTTATTATGCTTTTTCATAGTGTGGGTGTTTTTTTGCACTTTTTTCCCTACTCACACTTTAAAAAGCTTTTTTATTTTGAAATATTTTTCAAATTACAGAAATTTCACAAAATATGACAGAGTTCCCATATATCTTATTTTTTTGTTACAAACATTCAGTGAACTTATATTCTTAACCTATTGTTAATAGTATAGCACAGCGGCCCTCCCTGGTGGCGCAGCGGGTTAAAGCACAACACTAAGAAGCTAAAGTCACTTCCGCATGAGTTCCATTCCCGCCTGCCCCGGAGGTGACCACATGGCGTGGCAGACCTCTCCTGACCCGCCCGCTGCTCCCCTCAGCAGTGTACTTGGTCCATCTGCCTGTTCTGCTCCCCACTCTGTCTCTGGTGAAGCCTCTGAGCCTCTGGTCTGTACCCCAGTTCTGTATGCACAAATAAATCTTAAAAAAAAAAATAGTATAGCACAGCATGATTATCTACAGGTACAATATTATATGTCTGATTTCTAACCAATGTGTCTT